TTGGGCCTCCTACCGAAGCAGTGCTTCGTCGAACAGGTGGTCGCTGCGGACGCGCAGTCCCGCATTGACGCCGCGCAAGAAGACTTGACGTACGAAGACATGCTGATGGTCCTATGTGATGTCGGTGGCGCGTTCCCCCCGACGCACAGAACAAGCCTCAGCAAGGCATGGGAAAAAGGCGGACTTCCCCGAGGGCATCTGCAACTTGATGGAGGCGAACTACCACCTGCCTATCGCCTTCACCTTCCCTGCTGACAACACTGAGTGCTTCTATCCCCTCGCCTTGGGCTGGCTGCGGGGGCGCCCTTGGTCGGGCTCTCTGTGGTCGGTGGGACTGGGCCCGCTGCGCTGGGACTTGCACTCGCGGGCGGCGCACCTCAAGGACGCAGTTTTCGGGGTCTGCGTTGATGGGCGCAGCCGGGATAGGGCAATTATCGGCCGGCAGCGCTACGCCGCCAAGTTCGTCCACACTGGGGCCCCGACCAGCACTTCACCGATGCTCTTCAACCGGGGAGTGGCGTGCCAGACCCCATGCCTCAGCCAGCTCCTTGCGTGGCCGCAGAAGATGAAGAAGAAAGAGAGCTGGGCACTACCTAGCGTCTGGCACCTACCCTCACAAGCTCTTCCCCGAGACGTCCTGCTGGCATGTGACCGCTAGGCTTTGCTGATGGCGGTCTCCCACGAGCTCGGCAACCGGTCGGCGCCGATGCGAGGTGCCACTGTCTCTGTCCTAAATTGGCAGTTGTGGGCTCGTCGTTTACGCCAAGCAGCGGAGATCAGCCTCTCGCGCCACGCCCGCCCACGCGACCTGTTCGCCCCCATCCACTGGAAGTCGAAGCTGATCATGTGCGCCCTCGAGGGAGCGGCGCAGGGACCCCCCAATGACATGAAACGACCACTGGCAGTGGCCTGTCCTGCTGCGATGAGTGAGTGGAAGGTGATGCAGGCCCGTCTTTTGGCCGAATCTTCTACGGTCCGCTTTCGCGTGCAGAAGTTTACTCACTCCCTCGGCGTCTTCTCTCCTCCCCCTGATTGCCTGCCTGTCACTTGTCGCTCTATCCCCAACTCCTGGGCGAAACCTTCCGAGTCTTTTTTTTCACAGATCGAATGGGAGCCACCCAAAGAGCTTCTCAGCAAGAGTTTCTCGCCCGCTGCTCAATCGGCGCCTATCAAGACGGGCGATGGAGGATGGAACACGAGCCGTCGCCATCTCTCGAGTGACGTCTGCACCCCCTGCATCTTTGGTTGCTCCCAGGCCGAGGGCGGGGGCGACTTTGATGCTACTGTGCACTTCATACGCTGCCCACCTCTCTGGCAGGCAGTGCGCGATGGGTGGCACGCGCAGCTTTGCATCCAGCAACTGATTCTGAATAGTCTGGGTCTCTGCAGCGGAGAATCGGACGGATGCCCACGGAGCGTGCTGCTGGAACGCACGGTCATAGCTTTTTACACATACCACATTCAGACGAAGCTTCCCATCACAGAGTCGTTGCTTCCTTATGCGTCTGAGGACGGCGCCCGTTCTGCAAGGGCGCTTCTCCTTTCATTTCACAAGCCTGTACAGCGATCATCTGGACACTGAGCGGCGCGGAAGCACGAGCGATATACATGTATATATACATATATATATATACATATTTACATGTAAATGTATAGAGAGAGGTCGGTGTGCGTAAATGTATCTGTCAATGTATATGCATGTATATATACATATGTACATATGTACATATATTTTATCTGGCCTCGGGCCCCGGAAAAAGCGCACCCCCCCTGACTTCGGAAAGAGCGCCCACCCGAACGAGTTTGGCCCACCCCGGGCCTTTCCGGGCAACCCTCCCACGAGAGCCTGAAGACGGCCCCAGAGGGCTCCAGGCTTTCCGGCGCGCTCCGGAAACGACCCCAGAGAGCCCCAAAGTGTCCACGACCAACCCTGACAAGCCGTCATACAACTTAATATCGTTCCAAACCGTCCCAAAGGCCTTCAATAACACTCCCAAGAAGGCCCCAAGAGGCAAAACTAACTCATTGATTTCAAGTTGTTTTGTTGTGTGAGTGTTGGGGTTGTCCTCTTTTCGGCTTCACGACGCTTCAAGACAGCGGTCCTCTGGGCGTCCGAAGCCGCCTGGGCGGCTCGAACATCTCCACAACCATCCGAAACGGCTTCCAGGCAGTCCTAAAAGAGCCCCACGACAGCACGACGGGGTTTCAATATGGCTTAAGAGAGCCCCATGACAGCCCAAGACGGTCCTAAGATGCCTTCCGAATCATTCCAAATCGTGACCCAGCCATTCAGGGAAACCGCGGTCGGAGGCAGGGTGGACCGAGGAACCCCCCAGAGGCCCCAGAAGACGCCCAGGAGGAATCCATAAGGCCTTGAGAAAGCCTGACAAATTTCTGTGAAACCCCCAGAGGCTCTCCAAAGAGGAGCCTCCGCAATCACAGCAGAGGAGGATGGGGGTACTACGCAGGGCATGGCGAGAATGAGGAACAAGAAACATGGATGAAGGATAACGAAAAAGATCATTATGATGGTGGTGCCAGGAAAGGCAACGAGAAATTATCGTTGAATTGTCGGCACGACCTTCCTGCAATTCCGCCCGCAGACCAAAGTTAAATGACCATGGTGCATGTCGCGAAGAACCACTGCAGTCTTGCATAATTATATATGTGCGTATGTCTGTATGTATGTGCGGGTGTATGCATGTATGTATGTATGTATGTATGTACGTGCGTACGTACGTATGTATGTATGTATGTATGCATGCATGCATGCATGCATGCATGTATGTATGTATGTATGTATGTATGTATGTATGTATGTATGTAAATTATAGATGTATATATATATCTATATATATATATATGTGCACCGGGGTGCTGGGGGTTCGGGTTCCGGACCAGCGCTCATTCCCAGGTGAGTTCTAGTCGAAAAGGAGCAACGCTTCAAAGTTGCCCTTTTTCAATTCAGCCTTTTACTAGCAGTCTCGCTCAACCGCACCCCTCCGACCGCGCCACGCCCTCCTTGCGAGGCCGCCCAGAAAAGCAGACGCAACGTTGTCGCCGGCGCAGCAAACTCTCAGGCCCGCGAAGGTCCTCCCAACCCAGCTGGGGGCCAGCGTGTACATTGCCCAGGTCTTGCTCGAGATCGTCGACGCGAGCGGCAGCCGCGCCAACGGCGTCCGTGCCACGGTGGCGGACGCCTCCAGTCTACACCAAAGCCGAGCGGACCGCCACGCCCTCACCTGCTTCCAGAAGGACGCCGTCGCGCAGATGACCCTGCCGCAGGCGCCGCGCGGCGTGCTGCTGACGGGAGGCCAGAGCCGCAGCCTTTTCGGTCCCACTGTGGGCAGTAATCCCTGCGGGAATTCGAGCTGGGGCTTGATCGTCGGAGCATACGGCGACTCCGCGGCCGCGGGGAAAATGGCCACGCAGTACGTGAGCAACACTTTGGTCTCCGTCCTGCAGCAGGCCCAGCTCGAGGTCGACCTGGCTGTCCGGGCCAACGATCGCCACGGAGCATTCCAGGTGGAGTCCGGCATCCTGGCCAACCGCGTGGAGCACACCCGCTTCTTCACAAAGCTCATCCAGGAGCGTTACACCATCAAGGAATTCATCAACCTGCACATTGCGATCGCCAGCGACGTCCCCACGATCGCCATCAAGGGCCAGTGCCCTGCCATCATCACGCGCAGCGAGTGCAAGCCGTGCACAGTCATCCGTGGCACCCTCGGCTCGACGGCCCCCATTATTACTGCGCCGACGGTTCAGAAGACCATCCACAAGAACCCAGCCGCGGCCAGCAAGAAGTCTTTTGCGAAGCCGTCAGAGCCCCCCGTCCACCGCGGGCATCCAGGCCGTTGCCGCGTGTGCGCGCGCGTTTTGCGCCGCGCGTCCGTGCTGTTGCGCGCGCGTCCCGACGGGGACGGGCATCGCTTCCGACTGCGTTGCAGGGCTCCAGAGCCTTGCCACCAACGCCGTCACCGCTTCCAGCCCACCGCAATGAAACATAACAGTTTGCGGCCGCGCCGCCAAATCGGGATTTGAAAAGAGCAGACACTGTGCGATGATTCTTTCCAATTCGCACCGCAAGAGCCGCCCTATTATCCAACAAAACAAAATCAAAAGGCGAAGCGAAGCGATCCTTTAAATCTGGCGCTGATACTATGTTTACATGTGTATATAGTGTCAGGCAGTGGGCAGCCGGGCAGCATCGTGGATACATATGTTGCGATTTGGGGGTCGGAGCCACTATTCCATTAGATGCCTAAGCGAACTGTCCAGGAGTGCAATTCCGTTCATGTTGATGCACCAGCCCAGACAAGTGTTCACTTCCCCTTCTTCCTCGCTCCATTTCCTTCTCGTCGTTCTCCTTCTCCGTCCTCCTCTTCCGCCGCCTTCCCTCCTCCTCCTCCTTCTCCTCCTCCTCCACCTCCTCCTCTTCCTCTTCCCATTCCCCTCCTCGCAGTGCGACCTCGTCGCGCAGCAGTCGACAGAGTTCGATGCGCGGCCAGTGGCTGGGAGCGGGCCGCGGCCAATGCGGCCGTAGTTTGACGCGCTCCTCCGCGACGACCCCTCTGGCCGATTGCGTCCTCGTCCTCCTCCGCCGCCCTCCTGGCGGTCCGCCCCCCGCGCTGCCTCGCCGCCCCCCGCGCTGCCTCGCTTTCACTTTTGTCGACTCGCGTTCTCTGGGCGCGAGCCAGCAGGACCGAGTCCAGCCCGCGGGGCCCTCCTGGCGTTCCTCCCCCTTCTCCTCTTAGCTCCCTTCCCGGAGCGCTCGCGCTCACTTGCCGCCACTTCTGGCTGCAGTCACGGTCGAGTTTCTTTGGGGGGGAGGCACGACGTCGGGTTCTGATAGGAGTTCGGCCGGTGGCGAGACCAACGCTTCGTTTTTGCTGGCGCGACGGCAGGATTTCGGGCACCGGGGAGCCCCAGGCCCCCTACCCCACCCGCCCTTCCTCTGCCGCCCCCCTCATCATCCCGCTCTTCTTCCAATATGGTAGGTCTTGGGCATCGGGGAGCCCCTGCCCCTCACCGCGAAGAGGGTGATCTTTATCTGCACCAACGGCGCCCTGGAACAGGATTCGGGGGAGGTCTGCTCCTGGGCCATTCGGCTTCTTCATCAGGCACAGGGAGACGACCACAAAAGTTGGGCGGAAGGATGTGGAAGGCTGGGGCCTCCCCCTTCCCCTCATCCGCCTCGTCCCTCTTCATCCTTTCCCCTTCTTCCTTCTTTCTCCATCTGGCGCTCTTTTATCATCTGACTCATCCTTGGATCGTGAGCTCACGGTTTGGAGACACAGTTGTCGGTGCACTTACAAGTGAAGCGCTCAGCAGTCGTGATCAGGACAAAGGGCGCGCCCATCGAAGCGGTCTCATCAGCGGTCTTACCAACAGAACTTGTCACCCAGGCAGCTTTTTGCGCGGATGGTCGGCTGCAGAGGTACGTACGCGCATTGCATTGCGAGTGGGGGAGACCATGGCGGCTTTCAACACACTTGAGTTTGTGCGGCGGCACGCTGGAACCACACGGTGGCGCAACCTCGATATTTTCAGTGATCGTGTCGTTTACTAGCTCGGCTGTAGCCTCCATAGCTTGTCATCGCGCAGCTTCAGAATCTCGTTGACATTGCGGTCTTCGGTCCCTTCCCTGGCCCAGCGCGGCGCTAGACGCTCATTTGGAAGGCAACTTCTTCACCGCGCGAATCGTGTACCTTTTGCGCTGTGTGGTGGCCAGGGCACACCACAATGTGTCGTACTGACATGTGACGTGGCGTATCCGACTCGATTCGAATGCTTCCCTTCTCACGTTCCCTGAGCCTAGGTCCCGGTGGAGGCATGCGGACCCTGCCATTGGGGCCTTCGGTGGAGCCCCCTATGGGGCCACGAAACGGGTGAGGGGTGTGCCGAAATCGGTGATGATGATGATGATGATGATGATGATGATGATGATGATGATGATGATGATGATGATGATGATGATGATGATGATGATGATGATGATGGGAGGAGGGAGGGGGGGGAGGAGGAGGAGGTGAGGAACGCGGGGCGCCGTCTCTTCAAAACGAGGACCCAACACCACAGGATGGTTGGGAACTTACGCGCAAGCTCTTGATAATCTTGCGAAAACCATATGTTTTTCAAGATTTTCAAAAAAATGCTACCAAACAGGCTTCGCGCGCGCGCATGTCGAAATCTGTCGAACGCCCTTGCGCGTGTGCCGTCGCGAGAATCCTCTGCAAACAAATGGGACGAAGTGTCGACGCGCGCGTCGTCGCGCGCGTATGCCGAAATCCTTCAGAACCTCGCGGTTTCGGAAGGATTTCAAAATCGTGTCTCCAAAAAACTTACAAAAACACAATGTTTCGCGACACGGATTTTCAACAAAAGCGTGCGCGCGCGCTCTTGCGTCGTCGTCGTCGTCGTCGTCGCCGTCCTCCCTCCTCCTCCCGCGTCGTCGTCGTCGTCGTCGTCGTCGCCTATGTCGTCCTCTGTCGTTCCTCCTGTTCGTCGTCGTCGCCCTCTTTGGCGTCGTGGTCGTTTCCGTCGTCATTGTCGCCGTGGTCGTCCTTCCTCCTCCTCCTCCCTTGTCGTCGTCGTCGTCCGTCGTCGGCGTCTCGTCACCGTCCCTCCTATTTCTTCGCCGTCGTCGTCGTCGTCGTCGTCGTCGTTGTCGTCGTCGTCGTCTTCCCTCCTCCCCCTCGTCGTTGTCGTCGTCGGCGTCGCCGTCCTTCCTCCTTCTTCGTCGTTCGCGTCGTCGCCGTCCTCCCTCCTCCCTCGTTGTTGTCGTCGTTGTCGTCGTTGTCGTCGTTGTCGTCGTTGTCGCCGTCGTCGTCCTCCCTCCTCCCTCGTCGTCGTTTTCGTTGGCGACGTCGTCGTCGTCTTTGTCGTCGTCGTCGTCGGCGATGTCGTCGTCTTCGTCGTCGTCGTCGTCGGCGTCGTCGTCGTCGCCGCCGTCGTCGTCGTCGTCGTCGTCGTTGACGTCGTCGTCGTCGTCGGTGTCGTCGTTGTCGTCGTCGTCGGCGTCGTCATCGTCGTCGTCGTTGTCATCGTCGTCGCCGTCGTCGGCGTCGGCGTCGTCGTCGTCGTCGGTGTCGTCGTCGTCGTCGTTGTCGGCGTCGTCGTCGTCGTTGTCGGCGTCGTCGAAGTCGTTGGCGACGTCGCCGGTGTCGTCGTAGTCGGTGTCGGCGGCGTCGTCGTCATCGTTGTCGCTGTCGTCGTCGGCGTCTCTGTCGTTGCCAAGGGCCATTTGGTACCCACCGTCACGGCCTTAAGAGATTTTGCAAACCAAGTTGCGGGTGGGTGGGTGGGATGTTTGCGCGAGCAGAGGAGTGGACAACTCACTGCGAACAGAATTTATTTGCACCGCATAGAGTGCACCACATAGATTGTGCCACATAGCTTGCACCACATAGATTGCACCACGTAGATTCTCCTTTCTTAAAACAGAATAGGATCTACCCCCCCCCGGCGTTATCACTCCCCCTCTCGGGTATGTAAATCACATATGATTCTGACCACATGTCCATCCTAAATATGAATTTACACTATCCCCGGGGGGCCGGTATCCCCCCCCCTGAGGTTCCCTTGTGAAAAACACTATGCGGTGACATTTGTTGTTCTAACATAGCACTTTTTCGCGAATCCATTGAAACAAATGTGACGAAGTGCACACGAGCGCGTCGTCGCTGGCGAATGCCGAAATCCGTCAAAAACCTTCGGTGCCGGAAGGACTTCGCAATCGAGCTTCCAAAAAAACATACAAAAACACAGGGGTTCGCAACACTGATTTGCTAAAAAAGCTTCCGCGCGAGCTCTTGCGAAATCTTAAGACAACCATAGGTTTTTCAAGATTTTCACAAAATGCTATTACACGAGCTTCGCGCTCGCGCATGTCGAAATCTGTCGAACGCCCTTGCGCGTGTGCCGTCGTGAGAATCCTCTGCAAACAAATGGGACGAAGTGCAGACGCGCGCGTCGTCGCGGGCGCGTGCCGAAAACCTTCAAACCCATAGGTTTCGGAAGGATTTCAAAATCGTGTCTCCAAAAAACCTACAAAAACACAAGGTTTCGCAACACGGATTTTCAGTAAAAGCGTGCGCGCGCGCTCTTGCGTCGTCGTCGTCGTCGTCGTCCTCCCTCTTCCCTCGTCGTCGTCGTCGTCGCCGTCGTCGTCTTCTGTCTTTCCTCGTCGTCGTCGTCGCCTTGGCGTCGGCGTCGCTTCCGTCGTCGTTGTCGCCGTGGTCATCTTTCCTCCCTCGTCGTCTTCGTCGGCGTTTCGTCGTTGTCCCTCCTATTTCTTCGCCGTCGTCGTTGTCGTCGTCGTCGTCTTCACTCCTCCCTCGTCGTTACCCTCCTCCCTCGTCGTCGTCGTCGTCCGTTGTCGGCGTCTCGTCGTCGTCCCTCCTGTTTCGTCGCCGTCGTCGTCGTCTTCGTCGTCGTTGTCGTCGTCGTCGTATTCCCTCCTCCCTCGTCGTTGTCGTCGTCGGCGTCGCCGTCTTTCCTCCTTCTTCGTCGTTCGCGTCGTCGCCGTCTTCCCTCCTCCATCGTCGTTGTCGTCGTTGTCGCCGTCGTCGTCCTCCCTCCTCCCTCGTCGTCGTCTTCGTTGGCGACGTCGTCGTCGTCGTCTTTGTCGTCGTCGGCGTCGTCTTCGTCGTCGTCGTCTTCGTCGACGTCGACGTCGACGGTGTCGTCGTAGTCGGTGTCGGCGGCGCCTTCGTCGCCGTTGTCGCTGTCGTCGTCGGCGTCGGTGTCGTGGCCAAGTGCCATCTGGTACCTACCGTCACGGTCTTGTCTTAAGAAGTCTTGCGGCCAAGTTGCGGGCGGGTGGATGGGATGTATGCGCGAGCAGTGGAGGTGGTCAGGCGCGGTGCAGGGTAGTCAATTGCACAGCATCTATAGCACCTCGTAGCTTGCACCGCATGGATGAGCACGATGGTTCATCATCCGTCTCATTCCCCTCTTCTTCCGCCTCGTCCTCTTCGTCCTCGTCCTCCTCCTCCGCCTTCTTTTCCTTGGCCCCTCCCCTTCCTCCACCAAGTAGCTTACGCCACATAGCTCATACCACGTCGATGAGTACGTTCGGTTCTTTGGCTTCTGTCTTTGTGAATACATGTTTTATTCGCGGTGCGCGCGAATCATTTTCTGTAGTTGGTTTGGCTCGCAGCACGCTCAGGAGCTAGAGGTTTCATATAATATCTCGGAACCGCTCCCCTGCACGTTTGCGCCCATGCCTACAGAGCGTGCAGAAATGGCTTCTGCTGCGCAACAGCGAGCGAGAGCCTACATACCACGTTGCTTTAAAAGCACGCGGCCTTGGCTTCGGCGCGCGGCAGCACGAAGCGACAGACTACGTTGCTACAGAGCACGCAGCCTTGGACCGCATTGCTGCACCAGCAGAATTGGAATGCGTGTGTGTGTGTGTGTGTGTGTGTGTGTGTGTGTGTGTGTGTGTGCGCGTGCCTGCGACGTTACAGGAAGTAGCGCAAATGGCCAAGACGCGGACTGAGAACCGGCAATTTCGATTAGACCCTGCCGTGGGTAGTTCTCGGCGCCGGCTATGCTCTGCCTCGGACAATCCTGGGCGCGCGTTCTCGCTGAAGGAAATCAGGGGCGCCTACTTGCGCAGATGCGGCGCATTCGATGAAGCTGCGTTGTATTGTGTCACCGTGGTCCTTCTCATCGCCCATACAAGCGAATTGTGGGGCGCGCGCGCGCGAGTGACAATTGCAAACGGCGGGCAGAGATGCGCGCCCGAGTGCTCGAACGAGATGCCGCGATATATGTTCCTGCGCTGGTTCGCAAAAGCGGGTTGGGCAGGGAATGCGTAGGCGGCTTGATTAGTGCAGCGTTTTCTGCGGATGTGGTTCAGAGCCCTGCGTCGCCAGCCCATGCTCAAAGAGCCCAGCAAGTGTTGCGTTGCTTGGGCGAATGAATTCGGAATGCTCCAAGAATGTGTTCCAGAGCGCGAGCGTGAGCATGAGCTGCGAGACGGTGATTTTGCAGCCCTGCGTGCAGAGTAGGCGAGCCCTGAGCGACAAATAACCAGTGCCCCCCGCCACCGCCCCTCGCCCGGGATCCC